GCAAAAAAAAAAAAAAAAGGGCGGGTTGGCTGATTTTACCTGTTTTTCCAGCCTGGTCATAGTTGGTTTAGCAGGCAGGTTTTAGAACGGTTTTGATTTCTTTAGCTGGTCAGGCTGTGAGATCAGCTCACCAACCAGCTAAAACCAGAAAACACCAGCTTGGCCAGGCTGGGAGTCCAGCTTGACTGGCTTAAACCAGCTAAGACCAGCCATCCAGCAAAGGCTTTTGTATTTATTTATTTATTTTCCCAGCGGGGAGACACTTAGGAAAGAGGATGGTAGTCCTGGCTGTTTGGATTTGTTGTTGAGGTATTATGTAAAAAGATAATTGTACATCTTTTGTGGTTAATTTGAAGTATTTACCTACCTTAAATGTTGTGCAAATGTATCTTATTTTAAAAGTAATAAAATATTAAATGTCATAGGCCTAAATAAAATTATGACATATTTATTAGTCCTATAGGCAGTATTCACTACAGCTCCCGTAGGGGACTTTTATCCAAATGTGTATACTATATAGGCTATAGCATTTCCATGGTATAGGTCCAAACATTTCTTCAGTCTTCACAAGCTTTGTTGTTCTCAATTTTGCTCTAAAAACAGAATTTACAAGTGATCTGAGATCCAACACTTTAGAGTGAAGCAATATGCATATTGCCATACTAGTGCAATTATAATAAGTGGCCACTTGGAGTCAATGTTGCGCCACACATCGCAGCACTTTTGGCATGTGTGAACCCTCGCTATTTAAAGAAGTGCAAATATAAGGCTCACCTCTTACAAACCTGTCTTGGGATATAATGGATGATGTCTTTATACTGCAGCTCTAATATAGCAGATCTTCTGCCTATGGTTGTTGCGCCCTGCAGTTTAATTGCTGTAAATACTGACATATTACATATTATATTACTTTACGATTACTGCCAGGAATGCTTGGAATGTTTTCAGGTTTTTGTGCAAGTAAAGAATGAATCTGTGAGCCTCAACTCTTATGTATCTAACAGAAGTGACCATTGAGAAATTTTAACCAAACTATGTTACAGACTTTTCATTAAGACCCTAAAGAATCATATCAACTTGTGGAAAATGGGCATTATATGACCCCTTTAACATCCACTCAAGCACATTTTTGCTTGTCCTCTTAGCCACCACCCCCCTTTTCCCTTTTATGCTTTCAATTTTCTGAGACTTATGAGGCTCACAATGAGCCTCAAGGACATTAAAGGCCTTTCTAATTATGTTAGCATATGCTGAGTGGCAGAGCGCATTGGTGGTTCAGTGGTAACATCGCTTGCCTCGCAAGAGATCCAGGGAAGATAAACTGAAGCATCTTTGTCTTAGTTTGTTGTTGCTGTGAGTTTCATCTTGAGCTTTGAGGCATAACTTAGAAAGTGTATTCTAAGCCTGTGTATGGTGTATTCTCACTTGTTTTGGTTACTGCTGTTAATGTGATTAGTTTACTTAAAATTACTTCGGTACACTGACAAAAAAAAAGGTGGTGAAACAGTTTTCACTCAGAAATTGCTTGCTTGTATCACAAATAAAGACAATTTTTTTGACGTTTTTAAAGAGATTTTAAATAATTTGGAAACGGAAACATTGGGTTGTAGCTGTTTCGACTAGTTATGTATTGATATGTACGGATATAATTTAACTTATATGTGTGTATGTATGGATGGATGTTATTGTTACACCCACGTGAGCTGTGTTACTGTCAATCTTGGCCAGGACCCTCTTGTAAAAGAGATTTTTAATCTCAATGTGCTTCCTTTCCTGGTAAAATAAAAGTTATAATAACAAAGATGCAGCAAAAACATTGAATTAAACATGAAATTTTTGACGTAGGAAGACTGAAATATTATTTTCGAGTATTTACAACATGATCCAGTCATATATATATATATATATATATATATATATATATTTTTTTT